TTGGATCTATGTTTTGGATCAATTGCATGGCCTGAGATGCTTCTGTATGGATTCAGATAGGTGGTACTCGACGAGTCACATGGGTGGACTCGACGAGTTGCTTGAAGATGGCCTGGGACTCGACGAGTTGGAAGAACAACTCGGCGAGTAGGTTGAAGATGGCCTTGGACTCGACGAGTCCATTTGGACTCGGCGAGTCTTGTCGAGGAAGTCCCAATATTTCTGGTTGAGTCGATGAATCGGTGAGTCAAGGGATGACTCGGTGAGTTGGGTGCGAGTGGACTCAGAGTTGTTGGACTCGACGAGTCTTGGGGTGACTCGGCGAGTTGGGTCGCTAATTGAGGGAAGTTCTGAGCATAAGGACTCGGCGAGTCATCGGGATGACTCGGCGAGTAGGGTCAGTCAGGGGTTGACTTTGACTCGTCCAAGGTTGACCAGTTGTCTTCCAGGGGTATTTTGGTAATTAAGGGTATTTATTGAGTTGTATGTTTTGATGTTTAGTGGAGGAGTTCGTGCCAGAGTTCGGAGCAGCGGGATCTTATCTTTTCAGCCGGCAGTTTCGAGGTGAGTTATCCTCACTATATCAACAGGGTCTAAGGCACCAAGGCCGGCCCTTTATTGTATTGAGATTCGGTTATGGTTATTATGTTATTGTTTGATGTGTCTGCATCCTGGTAGCTAGGATGGTACATGCTAGGAGGCCTTGCTAAGGTCAGTTTTCCCGATATACAGAGTGATGCTATGCTAGTGACCGGTTAGGTCGGTAACCCGGTTAGGGTAATGATATGCTATGTGATCTGCTTGCTCGGTTTGTTGACTATGACTGTTATATGAATGTATGTTTTGTGCACATGGTTGTTTGGACTGGAGATGGGTTGAGGCGGGTCCTGCTTTGTGCTGTAGGCCAAGATACCCAGGGCGGACCGGTTGTTCCGAAGGCCCAGCGAGCGGTCCGGATAGGCTGTAGGCCCCACGAGGGCGGACCAGACGTGCCGAGGCTCGGAGAGTGGACCAGGCCGATTGAAGGCCCGATGCGGGCGGACCAGTCACACTGTAGACTCAGAGAGTGGACCAGGTGGGTTGAAGGCCCGATGCGGGCGGACCAACCCCACTGTAGACTCGAAGGACATGACTAGACCCGGAGGATGGATCCGTTGGACTGAAGGCCCGATACGGCGGACCAGTCACACGGTAGACCCGATATGCATGGCTGTTCTATGTTCTGTTATGTTATGTATGTTTTATATGTTTTGGACCGGAAGGTCGTAGCCTGGAAGGGCGTATACGTGGTTGGTATTTTGGGGGTATCTCACTAGGCTTTCGGGCTTACAGTTGTGGTTTAATGTTTTTCAGGTTCTTCAGGAGACTGTGGCAAGGCGAAGGCGCGATCGTACCGCTCCTCATGATTTTGTAGCAATGTGATTCTGGGAATACTTAATGACTTGTATTGAAAACCTTTTTGTAAACATTTTAGTGAAAATCGGGTTGTTTGAAAATTTTAAATTGGTTGTGTTTTTCGGATGTTACACAAAGATGGTGTATAAGCTCGTTATATTTTCGTAAATTTAAGATCAAACTTAGCATATTTGGAAACTTATTAAACTTTGTGCTTACAATTTTTAATTATGTTTTAAGTACTTCTGGTTCGAATGGGAAGAGCTCAGAATGATTGCAGTACATACACCACCTCATTTCGCATTTTATGATTACTATGATGTTTTATGATGTATCTGATACACTTTGTTCCACCATGATTTTATGATGATGTTTTGGATAATAGTTTTATTAATTTAAAAATAAAAAAATTTGTTCTTAATTTTGGGATGTTACGTATTTTTTTTTTATTTCTATTAAACTTTGAAATATGAAAATACATTGTGTATTTTCTCTATTCTCTTATTCTTTTTTTTTTCCTATGTTAAACTCTGGATCACAACATAAACTTGGGTATGGTTTATTAGGTTTGATAATAATAATAATAATAATAATAATAATAATAATAATAATAATAATAATAATAATAATAATAATAATAATAAATATTAGTTTTTTTTTTAAATACATATGCACCTCATGGATAAATGTAAGTGAAGGATGGTGTATAGGCCCATTATATTTTCCTAAATTTAAGATCAAACTTAGCACATTTTTAACTTAAATTAAATGTTTACTTTTCAAGAACTTTGATGAGCAAATTCTCGAAATAATTATGTTATTACATGTTATCACATTTAAAATGTCTACTTTATCATTATAGTTATATTTTTAGTGTTATAACACCTAATATGAAAATGGACAACATCAAATAACATATCATCACACTTATTATTTTCTATTTCTTTTTTATTTTTATATTTGTATGTTTTTAATTTCTATTTTTCTAATTTCTATTTTTCTTAATTTATGTCAAAATAATTATAAAAAAACAAATAAATTAATAAAACATAATTCAATTAACTATTAAATTAACATACCATTTTAAAACTAAAAACAACATTACAAAGCAAAAAAAAAACATTGACAAAAAAATACGACAATACTAATAATTTAAAAAACTTAAAACCGATACATTATTCGTCGTCCGAATATTTCCGCTCGATCTTTGCCTTCTTTTTTCGGAGCACTACCGTTTGTTTCGGTGACATATTATCCTCTCTAGTTTGAAGAATTGCCACGTACTTCATTATGCGATCTACCTTGGCTTCTCAATGAAAAAAATTCCAAATGCTCATGTTGCAAGTCATATATTTTCATTGCGATGTCGTTATGGGCGTCAAATATATGTTTCAGTTCCGTCTGCTCTCGAAGTCTACTTTCGCTTTTCTCCGCATGTTGTTGAGCCCACCTCATTTTGTGGGGATATCTCTTTGATGCCATTGAGGTCGTCCGGTAGCTCATCTGTATCCGCATTGAGGTCGATGTTCGTGCATGCGTCTGAAACGTTGAATGAACCTGAGCCGCGAGACGTCTTGGATTGTTGTTCCGAAAATGTGTCCGTTTCAGTCCATTTGGGTTGTCCTTAACAATCTCTCAAATTTTTTCGTGCTCGAAAACGTGACCTGTATTGACATAATATTGGTCCATCGCTGCTCTAAAAACATCAAAATCGGTCGCACCACTTTGCTTGTGCGATAATAGTTTGTTGTAGATGGAATTGAACATGGTGCACTTCTTGCTTATTTGAGTCTACTTGCTATTCAACATATCATGATTGCGATAATTTTCATCCTTCTTCAACATAGTCTGAAATTTGCCGATCACAACTTCCCAAAAAACGACTTTTCTCATATTTTTTCCCTTGGTTGGGTTTTTTGATGTCCTGCACCACGACACTGCCAACATGTATTCTTTCTCTGCAGCCCACCATGTTGGACATTCTTCTTCCGATTACTCCACCGCGACCGCTTTTCCTTTCTTTCTTTCTCTCCCTTTGTTGGCCGTTTTTTCCGACCCCCCTACTTGCGTCTCGGCAGCCGCTTCTTATGTGAGTGATGGTTCTATGGTATTTTGTTGCATGGTAGCAAATGTGTTGAAAATGTTTTGTGGAAGGCTTGTAGCGAATTGTGGTGGGATGAGGCGGTATTGAAAAAGTTGTCGGAAAATGGAAGTTGCGGTGACCTTTGCGAGTTGAGGATGTTCGTGTATGCTTCATATTGTGCAAAACCGAGAGGAGGGAATGTGTTTGTGTTTGGAGGAGTGTTGGGGTTTTGATCCATAGTGAGTGAATGTGAAATTGTTTGGGTTGTATGAAATAAGATGAGAGAAATATGTTAAATATGTAGGTACAAATTTGAAGTTATATGCTTATATATATTGGAGTTAAAATGATTTTTTTTACTATGTGACCGTTTCACAACGGTCGAAAAAATGACCCTTAACTCGATGTAAGCCCCGTTTCTTCCCGTTGACATCATAATACCTCTTAACGTTACGGTCAAAAACAAGTATGGAAGCGGTGTTTCCAACGTTATAACACCGTTTTTTGGATGTCACTTAGGAATAACGGGGATACCCGTTGCCCGTTACTAGCCATGTCATTAATCCTTAATAAATAACTACTAATGCATCTGGTTTTATTTTGTATGAGAAAATTTTGAAGAACGTTGAGCTAAGGCATTTCCATAAGTGCCTCTAGAAAGTATCCACATAAAAATTATCTAAATGTTTTCTAGAATCATTTTTTCCAAAGTCATTCGAAAAACACAACTCATTTTCCAAATCCATTTGATTCCATTTCTTTTATGATTTATCCAACATCTTTTTAACCTTAACTGAATCTTGGGTTTTATCAGATTCACCGATTAAATCTTGGACTCTAGCTCATTTACTACAATAAGTCTTAAATTAACCTCAACTTGGGCTCATTTAACTTGATCTCAAATCGAATATTTGAAAGGTCGTTAATAGATAGCTCAAGTTAACTTACACCCCTATAAACATATGAATGCTCATAGGACTATCAACATGCTCAGAAATAAAAAAACAAATTTAACAAGTAATTTTAATACATGTAATATCATAAAGAAATAAATGTTCTATATCTTCACAACCCACTTTTTCCAACAATCCTCACATATTTAAATTCGATAGAGACAATACTTCATGTTCATGGCAACTAGATCGAATAAGCAAAAGGAAGAAGAACAAAATCATAACACAACATCCAATTTCAAGTACTTAATAAAAGAGAAATTATTCATAGTACATTCTAATATATTATCAAACAAGATATGATAGTTGACAAAAAAAAAAAAAAAAAAAAGTCAAACGACTCCTCGAGCATCTTATGCTCATAAATTAACCTTAATGCATTCTCTTAATTATATTATTTATAACGCCCTAATAAAAAAAGAGCAGTGTTATTTTTTGGAATTATGATAATAAGATAAAAAAGAAAAATTAAAAAGTTAAAAAAAAAAAAAAGTTACAATGGTTGGTTCATTTGTTGCATTAGTATTTTTTTTATTGTTTAAAATTAATTATATATACCCTTTAATTGCCTAACATTTCCATGCTGACGTGGCAACAAGGGGCCTATCATGCCAGCAAAGCATCATCTCCCCTTGTTGTTTCGCCACGTGGAATCCCCTGACTTGTAACCTCCTCAGTAAACACTCCGCTTGAAAGTCAGCAAATTGACTTTGCCCCACCGGCCGCAACCCGGCTCTACCAAACGCCTCCCTCCACGGCGTCACATGGCGGCCTGCCGCCCCCACCGCTGCTATTATCTTCGGGAGCAACACGCATATCTCAATCTTCCGTAACCAGTCACCAGCTCCTACTCCGATACCAACGTTTGCTGCTTCCAATGATTCTAATATCGTCGAATAAAGTTCTAAACCCTCGATCACCGACTGACGGAAGGACGACGTTCCGTCTCCCGTCAATCCTTCTCCGTCTACGTGAACTACTACTTGTGGAGATATTCGTCGGAGATCGTTGATGAAACCAGTGCCGATTCGTTGGAAGATCGTTGGAGTTAATAGAACAGCAGTCTTCTCTCCGTCCATGAACTTGATCGATTTAAACGAGAGGCTTTCGAAAGTTCTAACGGAGATGAAATCGATATCGAATCGTAGTTTTAGATCACGAGCAAACTGACGTAGATTATCTCTGATCAATCTCGATTCGGTTTCGTACTCTTCAGGAACAACGGCTGTGATTCTGAACGCTGGCGAGTTAACCTTCCGTGATTCTGATTTCTCCGAGATCTCTTTCATGAACGAAGCCCAATGACCGCCGATTCCGATATCGAAATCGATGACGTGGATGATCATCGCACCGTCAACCGCCTCCAGGATAGCTTGATTGGCGGTGAAGCTGGAAAACATCGGGATCGGGGAGACGGTGATGAACGTCTTGTAAGCTTTAATTGTTTGTACAATTTCAGAAGAGGAAGATGACTGAGTCAATCGAGTTGACCCGGAGATCAGAGACTGAATCGCTTCTTTGAAGTAGAAAGCAGCACGCTGGAGAGGTTTTCCGTTTGGAGAAGGAAGCCGCTGATTGAGCCGCGCCAATATCACCTGTGCCAGGTGGAGAGATTGAGTTTCAAAGCACTCAGCAATCCGGATTATATCATCGACGAAATCAAACCCTGTTCTATTATCAATATTATACTGGTTCGTGAAATCAAGCGAGTTAGGGTTCGTGTTCGTGTTTGGATTCTCAAAATCCGGGTTTAAGAACAGGGACATGGTCGGAGCAGTCACCTCAGATTGAATCGGCGGGAGGTCGGGGAGTTCAGGGAGGTAAGCAGATTTTGCAGAATCATCATTAAGACCTAATTCTTTCATGAGAGAATCCCATTCTTCAAACTGATTCACGATTCCATGTTCGTAATTATCCAATCGCAACGGATCCTCCGACGATGATAACACAATGCTATTATGATCACCTGAATCAAACTCCGACGTCTTACCAGGCAAACTCCGGCAAATATCAAGAACCGATTTGGGCTCGTATCTACCAGTTCCACCACCACCAACACCACCACTGATTATTTGGTGCTTTACTTCAGGAGAAGAGAGATTGTTTTGCTGTGAAGCAAAGGGCAATTTCATTCCTCAAAAGCTAATGCTACAGGTACGCAACCAAACCTTTTTTCTTTCTTCTTCTCTCTTCTTGTTGAATTTTCAAGCTTTTGAGCGAAAAAGGAAGTGGGTTGGGGGGCTTTTGGAGTCGATGATTGTGGGGGGTTTTCTAACAACGATATGCATGAAGAAAGGAGTGGTGGGGTATGGTCGGCCATGGATGATGAACAATGAGTGGAGGAAAGAGTAAGAGGATTGATTGATTTGAGCCATATCATAGAAGCTTCTTCATGAAGAAAGGAATTCATACAAATTGCACAAACTTTACACCTTTTTCTTCTTCTTTTTTGATTCTTCAGTTTTTTCCTAATATTTAACCAAATAAACATATACATTCACATTCATTAAAAAAAAATCTTTATTAAAGATTAACATAATTAGTAGACTGAACTCATAAAGAATATATGACATCATCTTTCGCGAGGTGCTCTAGGAATCACCATGTGCTCAATATTGATAATCTACAAGCATATTTTATATTTTATATACATCTTGTCATGTCTTTAATAAATCAAATGAATAGGAATCAATAAAAAAGAACAAATCTTTGTTGATACAACAGATTTGATCGACTTGATTATTGATAGAATGGATAAATTTGTTGTTTTTCAAAATATGTGAGATCTAATGAGGATACATTCTGATTCATGGTTGGATTAATGGTCATTAAAGCTTCCTAATAAGATATACTTAAATCCTAATAAGATATACTAAACTCATCGATTTGTTACACACTCTAAAGTATAAGAATGGTATTGATGGAATTTCTTGTTCTTATATTGGTGTTTATTCTTTTGTTTAGGATGAATAAAAAGGTACAACTTTCTCCATATTTGTTGTTTCATGCTATACAAAAATAGCAAAGAATAAGGGCTCAAATCAACACGAAAAATGACTTTAGTAAGGATATTTTTAGCATCACATTGCATCTGTTCTTTTTCCTACTCTATCAACATTACACATTGGCACTCTCGTTTGATAAATGCATCTTTAGAGAATGGTTAAAGGCGGATGCCACATTGTCATTTCTTTAAGGTTGTGTTTGTTACGTGGGACATGAAGACTAAAATGAACCATACAAGATTGAGATTGAACGAGTATTATATATATATATATATATATATATATATATATATATATATATATATATATATATATATATAAAATCATGATGGGTATTATTTTTGTGAAGTGATTAATGCTGAAACTTAGAGTGCATTCATGTAAAAGTAATTTGAAGTATCATTTATACTTACACAAAATGATAGATGAAGAACTGCTAAGCCAACAATTCTCATACCGTAGTTTTTGCATCATATTTGAGCCTAAGAAGCTTGTTCAACAGTTTACTCAAGACTATGGTTTCTACCCAGAAATTCTCTATAGTGTAGATCTTGAGATGACGTGATTCGATATATATTATACACAACACCGTAATTTTTTCAACATGACATCATAGATGCTTAGCTTGTTAAAGTACTTAAGCCATTAACAATCCCACATGATATCCTTGGTATAATTGTTGAAGTTTGTTAGAAGGATGATGGAACTTAAAGATTCACTTATGAAGGCTACTTGTCCATATAATAGTAGTCAAGCTATTAACTAATTCTACTTTTTGAGTATATAAACATAAATGTTAGGCTACATTATCACATACACAATACTCAATACACAATACACATAAGCCATTATTGATACCGGCATACCTGATAACTGTTGGTGTTTTGTTATCATCAATGTTATTTAAGTGTAATAGGATTACTTTATTAACTAAAAATGATTTTGATAAATATTAAACAAGTAAGGAAGGTGTGGAGTACACACTTGTTTAAGTTTGATCAAGTATTAAAGTATACTGTCATTTTGGGGCGAATCCCCTAAACGAACGGGGGTCCGGGGGCAGCTCCCCTGGGAGCGGGGTCCAAGGGGCAGAGCCCCTGGCTGGGGTCGAGCTGTATTAAAAATGCATAAGAAAATCCAATTTTTGAATATTTTACCCGGTTTTGATTTTGCATTAATCCTTATACAAAACCCGGATTTATAACAGTTTTTACCGTTGAGAAAACTGTTATATGACAGTTTTGACAGTTTTTCAGATAAGGAAGATTTATAACCAATTATAGTCACTTTTCTGGTACTCACGAAATTACACCATCTCATTCTCTCTTTCTTTTATCTCTGATTTTATCTGAGTCTTATCCAATTGAGGATTTGGGAGTACCACCCAAATACTTCGATTTGAAAGTGATTATCACGATTCTTAGATTTCCAAGTGCCACTAAACCATATTTCTAATAAAAATCGAAGTAAACTGTGATCATGGCAAGTGGTGATTCTGTGAAGGAAATGATAAGTAAGTTTGAAAAACTGAACAAGTTTAAAGGGCAAGATTTTCGTAGATGGCAGAAGAAGATGAAGTTTCTCCTTACCACTCTGAAAGTGGTGTATGTTCTGAGTACACCCATGCTAGTCTTACTAGAATCTGTTGAAGATGAACCTTTGGAGGTAACAAGAAGAAGATCAAAGTGGGAAAATGATGATTACATATGTCATGGTCATATTCTCAATGGTATGTCTGACTCTTTTTTTGATATCTATCAAAATTTCAAATCTGCGAAAGAACTATGGGATTCTCTTGAATCCAAGTATATGGCTGAAGATGCTTCTAGCAAGAAGTTTCTTGTCAATAACTTTATGGGTTACAAGATGATTGAATCTAGGTCTGTTATGGAACAATACCATGAAATGTTAAGGATCTTGGGACAATTTGCTCAACACAATCTGAAAATGGATGAAGCCATTGATGTGGCTATGATCATTGACAAACGACCCCCTTTCTGGAAGGAGTTTAAACACAATCTGAAACATAACAAAGAGGAATTGACTTTAACTCAACTTGGAAGCCATTTACGGATTGAAGAGTCCTTAAGGACTCAAGAACTTGATAACAATCCAAAAGGCAAGAACCAAGTTGGTTAAAAGACATGTCTAAAATGAAGTCTAATGGAAAAAGGAAGTTTAGAGGAAAGGATGACAAGTCTTCCAACAAGAAGGCTAAAGTGGTGTGTTGGAATTGTAACAAACTGGGTCACTTCAGGAAAGATTGTTGTTTGCGTAAAGTGAACAAGGATGGTGCAGGACCAAGTGGATCCAAGGATCCAGAAAAGCAACAAGGATGATAATGTTGCATGGTGGGTTGATTCGGGAGCAACAAGTCATATTTGCAAAGATAAATATTGGTTCAAGGACTTTCAACCAATTGATGATGGATCTGTTTTGAAAATGGGAAATGTTTGTGTTTGAACAATGTTTTATATGTTTCAGGGATTCGTAAGAATATCGTGTCTGAAACTGTATTAAATAATTGTGGTTACAAACAAGTATTAGAAAGTAACAAGTATATCTTGTCAAGACATGTTCTTTTATGGGATTTGGCTATATATGTAATGGAATGATTAGGCTTAATATTAATTATCCTTCTAGTGATAATTCTGTTTGCATGACTTCTGGTAGTACTTGCAATAATTTTCATAAATCTGAATTATGGCATGCTAGACTAGGACACATTCATTACAAGAGATGAAGCACTTGATAAATTTAAAATTTATAAACAACAAGTTGAGCTTCATAAAAATGAATTAATAAAAGTATTGTGTACTGATAGAGGTAGTGAGTATTATGATCCAGTTTATTTTGAATCAACTGGAATAATACATCAAACCACAACTCCATATACACCACAACAAAATGGTGTAGCTGAAAGGAAGAATAGGACTTTGAAAGAAATGGTTAATTCCATGTTGTCATATTCTGGTTTAAGTGAAGGGTTTTGGGGTGAGGCAATGTTAACTGCATGTTACATCTTGAATAGAACTCCAAATAAAAGGAGTAAGAATAATCCTTATGAACTTTGGTATAAAAGGTACCAAATTTGAGTTATCTCAAAGTTTGGGGTTGTAGAGCAGTTGTAAGCCTCACTGAACCCAAAAAGAAAACATTAGGTGAGAGAGGTATAGATTGTATCTTTATTGGATATGATGAGCATTCCAAAGTATATAGATTCTATGTTTTGAAATCTAATGACTTTGTGTTTGTAAACACAGTGATAGAGTCAAGAGATGCTATCTTTGATGAAGAAAGATTTACATCTATACCTAGACCAAGGGACATGATTCATCAATCTTCCAGCAAGAGTACTACTCAAGCTGAAGATGTTTCTGGTGGTGCAAGTTCTGTACCTGAACCTAGGAAAAGCACCAGAGCTAGAAAAGCTAAGTCTTTCGAATCTGATTTTCAACTATTTTTAGTTGAATGAACAAGGAATGAGACTATTTCTGGTTGCAAGGCATTAGGATGTAAATGGATCCTCAAAAGAAAAATGAAGGTGGATGGCACAATTGATAAGTATAAAGCCAGATTGGTTATTCAAGGCTTTAGACAAAAGGAAGGCATTGATTTCTTTGATACTTATGCTCCTATTTCCAGAATTTCTACTATTAGATTATTATTAGCTCTTGCAGCTATACATAATCTTGTGATTCGCCAAATGGATGTGAAAACTGCATTCTTGAATGGTGACTTGGATGAGGAAATATACATGAAACAACCTGAAGGGTTTGTGATGCCTGGAAATGAACAAAAAGTGTGCAAGTTGAAGAAATCATTATATGGTTTGAAACAAGCACCAAAACAATGGCATCAAAAGTTTAATGATGTTGTCTTGTCTAATGGTTTTGCATTAAACCAAGCTGACAAGTGTGTATATAGCAAATTTGATACTTCTGGTAAAGGAGTCATGATTTGCTTATATGTAGATGATATGTTGATTTTTGGTACTGATTTAGAAGAAGTTGATAAAACCAAGAAATTCTTATCATCTAGTTTTGATATGAAAGACATGGGGGAGGCTGAGGTAATTCTTGGTATAAGAATTAGAAAAGGAAACAATGGGATTTCAATTTCTCAGT